CGCCATCTGACGGTGGTGCTTTTCCCAGCACACCTCCGGCCCCGCCCCACCCACGCGAAAAGCTCTGACCAGCTCCAACTGTGGGCTCACGAGCCGGTTACTCAGCCTCCTGGACCCTCAACTTCCCCGTTTGTAAAATGAGACCAGTCTATTTGACATTTGAAAAAAAAAAAGTTAATCTTATTTGATGAAAGCCAAGAGAGGTCCTTTTCAGCTCAAATACCATGAGACTCTGCAGGGATTTTCTCTGCAGCTCCTCGTGGGGAAGAACCTGCGTATAGAGTGTGACTTTAGCCACCACGGGTGTAGGTGCCATCAGCCAGGTCCCGGGCTGGACTCTCAGGTGTGTTATCTCATGAATCCTCAGGACAACGCTTCATGGAAGATATTTATTACATCTCTATCTTACAGATGAGTAGCATGCCAACTCTACCGCCCTCTAGAGTGGTGTTTAACTCTAGATTATGCTCACGCCACCCCCTGGGTGGTAGAGCCACTTACAAACGAGAAAACTGAGGTTCAGAAAGTTTTGCCAGTAGCTTTGTCATCGTCATTGCCACTGTCATCACAGCTGCCACTTACTGAGTGACGATTCTACCCGGCCTCTGCCACAGGCTAATGCCACCTGCACGGTACACGCTAGTGTGATATTCGACAGGTAAGGAAGGCAGGTTCAGAGAAATGAAAAGCCTTGCCCGGCGGCCACACGGGCCAGGGGCCTCTCCACACACAGTGACTGGGCCTTCAGAGGCCCCGGGAGAGGCGGGAGGTACTCACAGCTTGAGGACAGCCGACCGTTTCCCCAGCATCATGTTCACAAAGTCTCGGTAGGAGATGGTGTGGCTGACCCCACCTGTCACCTCCGAGATCATCTTCCTTATCTCCAGGTGGGTCTTGGGGACCCCAAGCTTCTCCATCATCCTCTTTAAAGACATCAGGTCTGCGGGAGGAAAAGCAGGCCCGTGAAGGGGAGGCGGGCAAGTCCATGGCCTTGCTGCTCTAGGGACCTATCACTCCCTCCCCGAATCCTTCGGAGGCCATGTAGACTAGTGGTTAGGGACATGCGCTTCTAGTGTCACAGGGACTTGGGTTGGAATCCAGCTCTGCGTTTTCGGTATGTGGGACCCGGGGGAAACTACTTAACCTCGCTGAACCCTTGCTCCCATCGGCGGTCAAATGGGTTGATGGGCCCGGCCAGCGTGGCTCAGTGGTTGAGCATCAACCTATGAACCAGGAGGTCACAGTTCAATTCCCAGTGCACATGTCCAAGTTGTGGGCCCGATCCCCATTGAGGGGCGTGCAGGAAGCAGCCAATCAATGATTCTCTCATCAGTGATGTTTCTATCTCCCTCTCCCTCTCATTTCCTCTCTGAAATCAATAAAAATATATTTAAAAAAACAACGGGTTGATGGGACCATTGGGAGGGATGATGCGCGAGAAGCACCCGGCAGGAGGCAGGCGCACAGCGATGAGCAGCTATTCTTTCCTGTGATCTCAGCTGCTCCCCGTGGGTAGGGGGAGCCCAGGGCCTGCTGCCCAGGGAGCCAGGAGGCCACTGCCCAGTGAGGTGGGGTCAGGGACTTGGCCTGACCCCAGGCATCGACATCATTGCCAGGGGGCAGCTTCTCCCCTCTGCCACTCCCACCCTGCAGTCAAGGGCACCACTTAGGCCAGAAGGGAGAGGGTCCAAAAATACCCTGCAGAGCAGGAAAAGCAACAAAAGAACAAAATTCGAGAAAAACAAGGGAGGCACCAGAAAATCACTACGCCCCGAGGAGTCCTGCCTCTGACCACCCGGCTCCCAAGATCTGAGGCCATTTCCTTCGGATTGTTCGGTGAACAATGGTCAGCAAAGGATGGCGGGAGGGGGTGGGGCAGGCAGGTTTAGGGCCGGCCCTGAAGCCAGCGCACCCAAGGCAGGGCAGGCAGGACCGGTGCCAGACCCCTCGGTGCCAGGATGTCCAGGGCATTTCAAAGAAAGCTGGGCAGCCTCTGCAGGAAGGAGTGAAAGGGCTCCCACAGCTGCTGGCCAGACTCGAAGCTGGCAAGAACTTTCTGGAAGGCCGTTTGGCGGGATGCTTCAAAAACCTCTGACCCGGGATGTCTAATTCCTGAGATTTACTCTTAAGAAATAATGTGGACAAAGATTCACATACAAAGATGGTCTTCGCAGGATTATCAATGACATTAGGGCGTTGGCCGAATGAATTACAGTCCATCCCCACAATGGAATATTATGCAGCCACTAATTATATTTCAAAAGAAAAGTAAATCATATGTCAAAATACAACGTTACTTTTTAAAATAAAGGAGGTTCTAAAAACGCTATAAAACAGCACTTGTGACGAGAACAAAGCGTGGAAGGCCATGAACCGTGCAGAGCAGTTATCTCTGGGAGGCAGGCTGTGGGTGAGTGACGTCTACTTGTCTTTGTGCTTTGCTGGGCTTTCCCAAATTTTTTCTGATGAAAATGTTTTAACTTGATAAATTTTTTTCTGAGAGGAAAAACAATAAAAATACCCGAAAGGGGGAAGAAAGAGAGAAGGCAGAGGAGTAGGGACGTAGCAACACGAGTTCAGGGTGAACCGGAGGAGGGATGAGGACCCGGGCCCGCCACCTAACAACCACGTGCCCTGAGCAAGTCGCTTCGTCCCTCTGAGCCTCAGTTTCCTCAACTGTGAAATGGGGTGATTAAACCAGCCTTGACCATGTCGTTCTGCTACTGGTGAAGGCCAAGACGTGGTCTTGAATGTAAGTGCCAGGGGACAGGCGCTGGTCACCCGCAGCGTCTGGGTGGCGGACAGAATGAGGGTCTGTTGGAGGAGGGACCCAGTGTACACGAGGCACTTTGTCAACTGCAGGACAGTGAACAGATGGGAGGAGAGGCTTGGGGACCATGGAAACCCCAGCCCCCCAAGTCAGGGCGTCAGAAGCTTGAGCACCTCCAGCCCCCGCTGGGGTGGCACCCTCTATGCTGGGTCCCCTGGGGTGGGAGGCCGAGGCGTGGGCAGGAGCGGGTCGGGAGGGAAACGGTGGGAAGAGAAGTTTGGGGCGATGGGTCCAGGGTAAAGGCAGTCGGGCTCCACCCTGGCTCAGCTGACCCCGCCCATTGGGAAGGTTCGGTGTGTGCCCCTCACGCTCCTGACACCTCATACATCAGGCGAGTCTGTGCAGCTCTCTGGACCGTCACACCGTCCACCCACCAAGCACCCTGGTCCCCCGGCACTCTCACGGCCTCACTCACCAATCTCGCCTTCATTGTTCAGGTCAAACTCCATGTACTTCTCTGGAAAGCACAGAGCAAACACCGGCATTAGCTTGGAAGAAGGGTGGCCCCTGCGGGTCCCAGTAACTCCCCTGAGGGAACTGGCCAGGTCCTTGGGGAGCCCACCCCTAACTCCTCATCCGTGTGGGGGTCTCACACCAGTCCCATCATCTCAGCTGAAAAAAGAGCTCGTCCTGCCTGCACTGCTCTCCTGTGGGCCACGGAGAAAGGCGGGAGGGGTCCCTCTGACCCTCTCCCACACGGCACAGCTGTTTCCTTCCGGGTCCCAGCAGTGACGCTGGCTGTCAGTCGGCCTCAGTGACTACAATAGATTCTGGCCCGGGAGAGGCAGATTGGCGGGCAGCCAGGTGTGGGCACCACCGTAAGGAGTCCCTGTGGTTCGGGACCTTTTGGTCACGGGCAACACCGAGAAGTCAATGCTCTTCCTGGAGGAGTGCCCATGGGCCTCCCTCCCCACAAAGCTCACCTGCAGACTGAGCCCAATGTCCCGATCCAGGGGTCCCGGGAACCCCCAGTAGCGAGAGAATGACGTGGACACCTTGGCATCTCTGTCGGGGGCGGTGTGTGCAAGCAAGCCCTGTGGCCTCGGGCAGCCCACCTGGCGCCCGCAGGAGAGCAGGGCCCTCGGGGCGCCTCATGGAGCAGCCAGCACCAAGAGCCGAGGTCCTCCCAGGGGCTGAGGTCCTCCCAGGGGCCTCGAGGCCCCGGACTTTCAGGAGCCTCTCAGGCTGCCTCGCCCTCCATCCCCTTGCTCCACCCACTGGCCTGCTGCGCCTGGCCCCCCAGCTGCTCCCACTGGGCTTGCCACCCTCTGCCTGGCACGTCCCTCTCAGGTAGTCACAGGGCTCCTCCCCAGGCCTCAGGCCTCCCAGCCTTTCTAATTGGGCACCACCCGCCCCCGCCCCCCCAGCACCTGCTACCCAGACACCTGTCCCTTTCCCAGGGCCACCTTTGAAGAGTGACCCCATCGGTGTCTAGAGAGAGGGGAAGGGCTGCTCCTCCCTTGCCAGGCCCTCCTAGGGATGATTGGCAGGGGAGGGCGACAGGGCAGGGGTGGGGATACCTTTGTTCTAGTTCTTATATTTTTTTAGTGTAAAAAGCACCGTCGCATAATGGTTAAGAGCAGGGGTTTTGGAATGAGATCAATGTAGGTTCGAGGCCCAACTCCGCCCAAAGGGAGCTGTGCAAGCTCAGGCGAATGACCCCACCACTCTGAGCTGACTTTCTCTAAGTTAAAGATGGCATCACCTCCCTCCTGGCCGAAAGGGGTGATTCAGGGAGCTCACAAACCGCAGGGGAAGCGCTTCCCCAGGTCAACGAGGCGCGCTTAGCCAATGGTGTCCGGCCCGGACAACCGCAGTGTAGGCAGTTTGAGGAGACCCGGCAGGTTCTCTGCTGGGAGCGGGGAGGTGGCCCGCAGTGCCACGGCTTTGCGGGGACGCGGCCTCGGGCCTCGAGGATGCTTGCGTGGTCCTCCAGGCGCCCCAGTGCACCCCCCGGTCCCCCCCCCCCCCCCCCCCCGCAGGGAAGGTGGGCGCGCCTGCTCCTTATGTGCAGGGCTCCTCTCCTTTTTCCAGCCGCTGGCCCGGAACCAAGCGCCCGGCGGCCGGAACAGAGGGACCTTTATGCCGCCCCCTCCCCGTGCGCGCGGGCTCCCAGGCCCTGTTTTCTTTTCATCCCGTGCTGCTGGGATTCAATGGGCAGAAACTCTGCCCCTGGCCCACTGCGCAGACACAAACGTCCATTCTCCACAGGGGCTGCGAAGCTCCCCGCTGGAGGGGAGAGCTGCAGGGGGAGAGGCCAGGGCTGCTACAAAGACCTGATTGTGTGCTGGGGCCCGGAGCGCGCAGGGCCTGGGCAGCCGTGGCAGAGCCAACCTGAGCCGGCGGGGCAGCTGTGAGGGGCAGGGGCAGACTGAGGCCCACAGGAGAGGGGTGAAGGGGCCAGGCGGGCTTGGAGGCCGTGGAGGGGCCTGCCCCCTCTCACTGGGCACCCTGTTCTGCAGCCCACCAGGATTAGGGGCGTTCTGGAGGAAACGGGTGCAGCCTGGCCCTTTGGGGACAAGGAATCCTCCGTATGGGGGCCGGGGGGTGGGGCAGCCAGCCTCACTCACCTTTGAAGGCTGAGAGCTTTTCTGGCAGGTCCTCTTCATCGCTGTATTTCTGGTCACAGAGAAACTCCTACAGAGGCGAGAGGGCAGAGCTGAGCAAGGGGGCGGCAGGCAGGACTGGCCCGTAGGAGGCCCAGTGCCCCGGCCTCCTCTCCCGCCAGGCCAGACGTGCACGTGCGAGTCCAGCCCCCGCGGAAGAAGTGGGCTCAGAAGCTGGGCGGGGCCTGGAGGGTCTGCTCCAGAAGATGGAACACCTTCAACCACACGGGATCATCGGCGCAGGGACCTGCCTCCCCCAGGGGACGCCGCTGTGGGGTCCCGGAAGCAGTGAGCCCGAAGACGAGCCGCCTGGTTCCACAGTAACTGCTCAGGTACGTGACCCTAGCGCACGAATTCCTCTCTGGTTTTCCAGTGCTTTCTCTCCGGGGGTATAATCATCGCAGCTACTTCTGGAGTTTGCATGAGAATCCAAGGGGAGTGCATGTGTGACTCCTGGACACAGCAAGTGCTCCATACGCAGCCGTCATGTTATTCGTCTCGGCTCCAGCCAGAACGTGACTGTGGGTTGCCTGGGAGGTCACTTCCCCCTCTCCTCTGTGCCCTCACCTGTAAAATAGGCCCACCTTCCCCTCCGATGCTGGGAGAGATTCAGATGAGTCCTTTCAGAACCAGATAGGGAGGGTCAGGGCCACCAACAAGAACCCCAGAATGAAGCAGCTACCCGAATGCTCTCTTTGGATCCGCCAGTGGACCCAACAGTTTCCCACTTTACAGATGAGAAAACTGAGGCTCACACAGCCGGAGCTTTAGTTCAGCTCCATCTCATTCAAAGTCTATATCCTTGACCTCGACCCAAAGACGGGCAGATGGCAGGCATTCATCTGGCTTTAAAACAAAAGCTACCCATTCGTCAGCACCTGCTCCACCAGCACAGGGCGTCATTGCTAATCTTCAAACCGCCCCAGAACCCGCGTGCACACGGGGAAGCAGAGGGTGTCTGCCCACCCTGGCACCGGACTCCGCAAATGCCCTCTCTTCTCTGGACCGCACTTTCCTCATTACTGAGCGACTGGACATGGGCATCACTCCTCATTCATTCATTGACTCACTCATTCAACAGCTTTGGAGGGACCGCAGTGTACACTGTGTGCCAGGCAGCAAGGGAGCAGGTGAGACCAAGGTAAGTAAGACAGAGCCCTTATCCTAAGATTACAGGGAGCATTCACAGTGCTAGTCAATGACATCTGTCAATCACTCAATCTGTTTCTAAATTCCTGCCGCTACTTCCCACTAAGATGTGCCTGTACTTACACATCTCCTAGGACAGGGAGCTCACTACCTTCCCAGCCTGTCGTGTAACCCCCTAGAGCAGAGGTTCTCAACCTGTGGGTCGCGACCCCTTTGGGGGTCGAACGACCTTTCACAGGGGTCACCTAAGACAATCGGAAAACACATATATAATTACATATTGTTTTTGTGATTAATCACTATGCTTTAATTATGTTCAGTTCGTAACAATGAAATTGGGGGTCACCACGTGAGGAACTGTATTAAAGGGTCGCGGCATTAGGAAGGTTGAGAACCACTGCTCTAGAGGCTTAAAGTAGAACAAGAGAATGACAAAAAGCCGAACGGGTGAGAAAGCACTCTGGGTTCGGATCTCAGTCCCTTCCTTACCCACCTCTTCAGGCACCTGTCCCTCCTCGGGGATAACCACGCTCATCCAGCCGTGCTTACTGCGCAACGGGTGTGATTTAGTTTGAGGCAGAACCTGACCCGTTCCAGGGCCCAAGTGTCTGCATGTGAGCCCAGACCCTCTGACAGAGAAGGAGAAACATGCCGACATGCCCCCTCGCTGTGCTCCCCATTAGCTCCCCTAGTACGCTGGTTTTACAGGTAAGAACAGGAGGACCTCAGAGCTCGGATAATACGTCTCAAGTCCGGGCACTGAGGAAACGCAGGTTGGTTTGGAACCTGTGCGCACCCGATGCCAGGACCTGTGCCCCCGGCAGCCTGGTGGAGGCGGCCCCGGGGCCTGGCTTGGGGCCTCGTGACCATGCACGGCGCACAGCCCCGCCTGCACTGAGCTGGAGCTGGAACCTTCAACCTTCTCCGCTGGCTCCGCCCAGGACTCGCCTTCCCCTTGGCTGCCTCTCAGAGCTCTTTCCACGCCAACCCAAAGTAGGACAATTAACTTGTCTGTGACCCCGAGCAAACCAGGCACCCCCCGGGGTCACAGACCCCAAACCTGTCCAGCGGAGGGACGAATGGGAGTGGTTCCCAGACTTTGGGGTGATGCGTAAGGAAGACCTACCACGGAAGGAACAGGGACACCTTCGGATGGGCGGCGGGAGGCACAGGCAAGGCCCGGCACCTGGGGCTCTCCCAGCTCCCACGCTCTGGTCGGCCAGAAACCCTGCACCGGCCGGAGCCGTTAGGAATGTGTCCTGACCACCTCTAGGAATCCAGGCAGACGGGGCTCAAGGCGTAGGGCATGGGCTTGGGTGTTGGAGGCAAATCACAGAGATGAACATGGACAACCAGGCAGCGACTGAGAGCAAGGACAGGAGTGCAGCGGGAACCCCGGAGTGCGATGACGACTCCCCTTGGCTGGATCGACCCGGCCTGGCCCGGCTTTGCTCTACTGGGCCCCCTGACTAGACCCCTCATCTCCACGCTTCTTTTTCTTAATATATTTTATTGATTTCAGAGAGGAAGGGAGAGGGAGAGAGAGATAGAAACATCAATGATGAGAGAGAATCATTGATTGGCTGCCTCCTGCCTCCAGTAGGGGATCAAGCCTGCAACCTGGGCATGTGCCCTGACCAAGAATCAAACTGTGCCCTCCTGGTTCATAGGTCGATGCTCAACCACAGCCACGCTTGCTGGGCAACTCCACATTTCTACACGGCTTTCTCCCTCGCCTCCTTCAAGCCTTTGCTCAACTGTCACCTTCTGAATGAGGCCGGCCCGTCCACCCCACTGCAGCCCCTGCCTCCACTTCCAACCACCTTACCTTCCGGGGCGTCTCCTTCTATTCCATGGGATGAATCCCCTCCTAACACAATGTAATTGCTTATTAAAGGTATTGTCCATCGTGTCTCCCCCTGTGAGAAGGTAGGTTCCGCATAGCAGGTGCTCAATAAATGTTTGCAGGATGAGTGACCGAATCAAGACTCAGAGAGGATAAAGAACGAGCTCAACGCAGCACAGCTAGCAAGTGGCCAAGCTGGGCTTAAAGTCCACAGAGGAGGCGCGTGGGAAGGGGAGTGACCTGAGGAAGTGGGTGTTGGGGGGTTGATGGGAGGAGGCCGGCCCTCGGCCACAGGTTCTAGAAGCACCTGTTTATTGTCTTGCGCCTCCCAGGTACTTAGCACCCAGCACGTAGTAGACCCTTAAGCATCTGTTGAATGAATGGAGAAGCCTGCCATTTAGCCAGAATGACTTTTTCCTCTCTCACCCGAAATGGCAAGGCAGCTTTGCAGAGGCGCATGCACGTGTGTGACAGAGACGGGGGGGGGGGGGGGGGGGGGGGCGACGAGTGACTCAATGATTAGAATCACATTTATTCTTAGAGCCAAAAGTGACAAATGCTTGAGCCACAGAGTGACTAGGGGTGGGAAAAGCAACTGACCCATTGGTGGGTGGGTAGGCAGCCCTTGCTGGCCCTGGGCCTGGGCAGCTGTGTGGACTTGCCTTTGGCAGGGGCGGGGAAGGCGGGCGGCAGGAGCAGGAGCAGGAGCGCCACTGGTTGGGCTGCCAGCTCCCACCCCACCTCCAAGCTCCGGAGTCGTGGTTCCTGCTTATGCGCAGCCCGCAGCTTCCTCCCCTTCAGGTAGTCTGCCCCCCACATCCTTGCCCATCCTCCGGCCCAGCCACGCCCAGTGGGCAGGAACCCTATCTGTGCAGACTCCAGGACCCCTGGCTGCCCGGACTCTGGGTCCCCAGGCAGAGTAGACAGAGAGAGAGGTCAGCCCCTTTGGAAGAAAAGCAAACGCCGAAACCCAGAGAGGGCACGCTGGAGCCAGACGCCTGGGTGTGAACCACGTAGCAGCTGTGTGAAAAGTACTTCGCTGGTCTGTGCCTCAGTTTCCTCATCTGTAGGAAGGATGCAAACATCTCACGGGCTTGTTCTGAGAAGGACAGTATGTGAGGAAATGCCTGTGAATTTCCTAACAGCGCCTGGCACCTGTAAGTGCTAAATCAGTGTGCGCGGCTGCCTGTCATCTTCTGTTATTTCTATCTGCACGATCCACTGACAACCTCAGCTCATCGTCCAGACCACGTGGCCCAGTAAACAGAGCAGAAGCAAGCGCCCTTCCCCGATGTAGGCTGCTCACAATGTCCCTTTCCCCTCTCTCGGCCTCCCCACTTGACAGATGGGACCACTGACGCCCAGGGAGGTTGCTCAACCTGCTCCAGATGACAACGTTTCAACAGTTCATGGGCTATCTCCCTTCACCATCCAGCTCCCTCCCTGCCCTGAACACGGAGAAGGTGGCCTGACCACAGGTTTCTGAGCAAAGAAAGCCAATACCAGGAGTTACCTTTCCTCCTGGGCAGCTGCAGAAGGAGGTTATTCCAGAGCCAGGGGCCCACCCGGTAACCCTCAGGGGACAGGGTGTGAGGTGGGTGTTTACACTACCCCCACCCCCTCTCCCACTCCAGCCCATTGTGCCCAGTGACACGCCTTTCCAGCTGCAGCAACTGCTATCGGGCCTCCAGGAGTGAGGGGCTCTGAGAGTGACCGTTGCTAAGCAGAGGGGCAGGCTCAGAGGCCTGGTGGCCTTGGGCAGTCCCTGGCAAAGAGCCAGGAAAAGCAAGCAGGCAGGAGCCTGGGGTCGGAAACAGGAAGCTGTGAGCTGAGCAGTCACTCCCCAAGCCAGGGTGTCCAAGGCAAGGCCCCGAATGGTGACAGAGCTATTAAATCATCCATCTCAGAACGTGGAGCATCCAGCTGGTCCTCTTTGTTCAGTATCTGGGGAAACTGAGGCCTCAGACGGGAAAGGTCTCGCCTAAAGCCACACGGTCGGAAGCCTCACATAAACTCCAAGTGCAGGGCGTGTGGGGCGACGGGGCGGGGAGGGAAGTTGAATCAGGGTGCCAGGGTTCAAATCCCAGATCCAGCACTTCCTAGCTCTGTAGCCCTGGGCAACTTGCTTTCCCACTCTGGGCCTCGGTTTCCTTATCTGTGAAATGGGATCATAGTAACAGCATCTCCTCATTGGCTTGGATGAAATGAGCTAACCGCATAGACCCTTACCAAGGGTTAGCAATTCCCATTATGCGTTTGGATCACCCAGAGAGGTAGCTGCGAGCAGGGCAAGGGCAGAGAAGTGACCCAGCCCCAACTCCCTGTCCCACACTGTGCCACAAAGTCCCGCTGGTGAGTCTTGGGATGGCCATCCCTCCTCAAGGGCAAGTTCTACTTTGGACACCTGGCTGACCTAGCAGTGACAGTCCACCCACACGGGGCAGAGCGCGCCCATCTCCGGCCTGGGGGACAGTGCCTGCAGCCACACCTGCCACTGCTGCTCCCTTGAGCACATCAAATCTCCCCCGCCTACGGGAGTCCCATCCCAGTGCTCATGGCGGGGAGGGGCTGTTTCCCAAACCAGCAGAGGCTGGCAGCCCGGATCCCTGCCACCTGCCTGATTCCCCCAGACTTAACTCTCTTTCTGGGCCGGTACCTCTAGCACCTGCTCCCGGCTGCTTGCTCCTGGCCCTCCAGGCTCGTCTTTACGTATTAGCTGTAGCAGAATTTTGGGACGGGCGGATATCACCATCTTGGAAGCCATCCAAGGGGCTGGTGGCTGAAACCCTGGGCGAAAACCCCAAGTCCAGGCAGTACTATACCAGGTTGTCAGGCCTATGACGCAGCGCACAGGTTCTTAAAGGGCCAGGACCAGGCCACAAATGCCCAGCCTGGTGCCTGGCACGTAGACGGAGCCTGTAACAAGCACCCGCAAGGACAGCAGGCTCACATTCCCCACAGCAGCTCCGGGGCCTCATCCGGACGCTGTGTCCTCGCCAACAGATGGGGCAGCTGAAGAAAAACACCCCATCGGCTACACCAGTAAAGCAGACCCTGCAGAAATTCCATCGCTCGCTTCCTGTGACATGGCCACACTGAGGTCGCCACTGGCTGGACCTGTGGGGACACTGAATCCTCGGAGGCTCACGTGACCGCTTATCACCACCTCCTTTATAATATATTAAGGAAGAGCAAGAGAGACGGGTGCCCAGTGATGCCAGCTGGGCACATTCACCTGGGCAGGGACACAGTGGCACTGCCAGTACACAGGAAAAGACACACCTGCGTGGTGCCTGGGTCAGGTCACAGAGGTCCCCCACTGCCCGGGAGGAGCTGGGGACAGATACCCCTCTGGGCAGAGATACACAGCCTGTCGTGCCCAGCTCTTCCCAGCACAGATGGCACGTGGGTCCTGAAATAGCCACGAGGCACGTAAATGCTACAGGGAACGCCGAGTGCCCTTCATTCGACCCAGGAGGGCTGGGAGGGCGGGACAGCGGCCAGAGATCTTTATCCAGGTAAGCAAGAGAGGCCTGTGTCACAGCTAGGCCATGGCCACCTGGTGGACAGGGGCCAGGCCAGGCCGTGGGCGGGGTCTGAAGTCAGACTCCTGACTCTCACTTCCTCCTGGCTGGAGGGCCTCGGGCAGGTGACTTCACCTGACAGCCTCTGTTTCCTCATCTCTGAAATGGGCGGCCCGGTTAGCCGTGTCCCGTGGCCATGTTTACACGTTCTCGTGGTGCGTGTTTCTAATCCAACGTTCCTTTGACGGGAGTCAGTGAGATGATGCAGGTCAAGCGCCAGGCCCGCCTCCTGTTATTTGGGTAAAGATCCTGGCCTCCGGCCGGCTCCAGCTGCAGCCTCCCTACCCCCATGGCCTGCAGGATCCTCCCTACCCCCCGCCCTCTCCGAGGTCCCAAGCAGAAGGGCACCCACCAGCCCCACCACTTCTCTCTGTCCCTGTGCAAAGCTGGAGGGAATGTGTTCTGTTGCCATATAAGGTTGGGCCTGCTGGCCTGGGGTCACCTGCCATGCCATCAGGGCTCAGAGAATGTCAGCTATGTGGGGGGAGTAGGAGGTGTGCGCCTGGCCTGCCTGCTCCACAGTGCAGAGAATGCACACACACACACACACACACACACACACACACGGCACAGAGGTGGGGGCGGGCATGCACAGAGGAGACCCAATCCAGGAGACTGAGAGCACAGTCTGGGTGCTTAAACTCGGGCAACGGACTCCACCTCCTCCGAGTCCTGTTTTCTGTAACATGGGAATCCACACTCACAGGGTCAGAGCAAGCCATCAACGAGATGATGCCCCAAGCGCACCTGGCACACTGCCTGGCACACGCCAAGTGCTCAGAAAATGATAGCAGAAGCTACAGTGAAACCCAAAGAGTACATTTCCCTCCAGCTCAGCCAGGACCTCAGGCCCACCCAAGTCTATTTTCGCTCCTGAATCCCTTATAATAACAACAGCTAAGACTGAGCTGCCCTGCCACCCTCTGGAAGCTGGCCCACCCTGGGGAGTGGGGGGAGAAAAGCCCCCAAAGGAACTGGGACGTTGACCCTAGACACCCCCAGAGTTGCCAGCCCGCTAGGCTCTGCCCCAGCAGCAGCCACAGAGGTGCCCGAGCTCACGCAGTGGGCACGAAGCCCTGTCCTTCACGCCTCCGGCTTCCACGATGTCGCTAGGCAGCAGCTCAGTCCACCCCCCACCCCCACTCCAGTGGGGCAGTGAAGCTGAACCCCAAAGGAAGGCCAGTGGCTGCCCACATGGTTCCCTCTAGAACAGTGGTTCTCAACCTTCTGGCCCTTTAAATACAGTTCCTCATGTTGTGACCCAACCATAAAATTATTTTCGTTGCTACTTCATAACTGTCATGTTGCTGCTGTTATGAATCGTCATGTAAATATCTGATATGCAGGATGGTCTTCGGCAACCCCTGTGAAAGGGTCGTTCGACCGCCAAAGGGGTCGCGACCCACAGGTTGAGAACCGCTGCTCTAGAATTTGTCCACTCCAGGGAGCCTCCACTATGGCCATGGCCATGGGTGAAACGGACTCAGACCCTC